AGAGAGGGAGACACAGAATCTGAAGCAGGCTCCAGGGTCTGAGCTGTCAGCACAGAGCCCAATGCGGGGCTCAAACCCATGAACTGAGATATCATGACCTGAGCCAAAGTCAGATGCTTAACCAACCGAGCCATCCAGGGGGCCCTCTGTATATCTTTTTAAAAAAAAATTTTTTTTTCAACGTTTATTTATTTTTGGGACAGAGAGAGACAGAGCATGAACAGGGGAGGGGCAGAGAGAGAGGGAGACACAGAATCGGAAACAGGCTCCAGGCTCTGAGCCATCAGCCCAGAGCCCGACGCGGGGCTCGAACTCCCGGACCGCGAGATCGTGACCTGGCTGAAGTCGGACGCTTAACCGACTACGCCACCCAGGCGCCCCTCTGTATATCTTTTTAAATGCTTAAGATATATTAGAAGATTTCCGTCTCCACGACTTACAAAGAAAAAAACGTCTTTGGATATTTATGACGGAAAACTTTTTACTGATGGGGGCTGAGTCCCCAAAATGTTTAGAAACCTCTGCTGAGAGTGTTAACATTAGAGTTACAGCCGCCAGTTAGCATTCACATGAGCTGGGACTAGTTATGTCACCCAACTCGCAACAAACGTGTTTCACAAAAATATAAGAAAAGAACGTGGTTGGGTGTAAGGGCTGTTTGTGAATTACAGGTAAGCCTTGATTCCTTTGGAATAAGCTATTCCTCCATTAGCTAGCGACCATGAGCTAATTAGCACCACAGCAGGGAGCAGGAACTAAGTGGAAACCGCTGCTGGACCAAAGTCAAATGTCAGACGGTTACCCGCACTACTGTCCTCAATGCCTCCCATCCTTGCTGTTCATCGAGCAGAGCCTGGAGCCCTCCGACAGAGTTCCAGAAGAGCTGATGGTTGCTTAGCCTCCGTGTTCAAAACATCGCATGACAGGACACCAAATGGACAGGCTACGAAAGCAAAAATAAACAAGTGGGACTACACCAAACCAAAAAGTTTCCTCTGCGGAGCAAAAGAATGTCTGAAAAGACAACCTACAGGATGCGAGAAGATATTTGCAAATTAAATGCTGGAGAAGGAAGGCGTTAACAGTCAAAGCGTATAAAGAATACTTTTTGAGGTATAGGCTACTGAGTTATAGGTAAGTAACTAACTAAGTAAATGACCCTATTAAAAAGCAGTTAAGGGAGCAGAATAGACATTTTTTTCCCAAAAAAGACACACGGTCAGGTGGTAAATAAAAATTTGTTCGGCATCCCGCCTCATCACGGAAATGCAAACCAAAACCACTGCTCGCACTGCCTCTCAAAAATAAATAAATGTTAAAAAAAGTTTTTAATAGAATTTATTGTCAAGTTTGCTATTTAGAGCAGCACTATCAACAGTAGCCAAAGTATGGAAAGAGCCCAAATGTCCATCCGTGATGAATGGATAAAGAAGATGTGGTTCATGTATTCAATGGAATACTACTTGGCAATGAGAAAGCATGAAATCCTGCCATTTGCAGCAACATGGGTGGAACTGGAAGGTTAGTTATGCTGAGTGAAATAAGTCAGGCAGAGAAAGACAGCTATCATATGTTTTCATTCATACGTGGAATTTGAGAAACTTAACGGAGGACCATGGGGGAGGGGGAGGGGGAAAATAGTTACAGAGGGAGGCAAATCATAAGAGACTCTTCAATACAGAGAACACACTGAGGGTTGATGGGGGGGGAGGGGAGAGGGGGAAGTGGGAGCTGGGCCCTGAGGAGGGCACTTGTTGGGATGAGCACTGGGTGTTGTATGGAAGCAATGAACCGTGGGAATCTACCCCAAAACCAAGAGCACACCGCAAGCGGATTCTTACTTTATCAAATCTCTACCCACTTACTCTAATGCCCATGTTAAAATACGACGTCAACCTTTCTATCTACATTTTTCATTACTGAAATGGCAATAGAATTACCTGCTTTTCACTTTTAACTCAGTAAGTGAAAAAATGCAACGGATATCCTTCATTCGCACCCGTGGCCTAGATGAAGCTCCCGTTTCTTCCTCGTGCAGACGGAGGTACACAAGGCAGTAATGCAAGGGTGGCCATGCTGTATACCAACTACAGATGCCATCCCAGGTGCCCACTGGCCCCAGCAAGCCAAGACGTTTAAAGAACAGTGGCGGGGCGCCTGGGTGGCTCCGTCGGTTAAGCGTCCGACTTCAGCTCAGGTCACGATCTCGCGGTCCGGGAGTTCGAGCCCCGCGTCGGGCTCTGGGCTGATGGCTCAGAGCCTGGAGCCTGTTTCCGATTCTGTGTCTCCCTCTCTCTCTGCCCCTCGCCCGTTCATGTTCTGTCTCTCTCTGTCCCAAAAATAAATAAACGTTGGAAAAAAAAATTTTTTAAAAATAAAATAAAATAAAATAAAAAATAAATAAAGAAAGAAAGAACAGTGGAGTATTTGCAATGTATTTCACAATCCCAGAAGATCTAAGAAGAAATCTTGCCAAGCATTAGGGGCAACTATTTTCGGGGCATATTACAACTTGTGAAGTTTCGGGATGAGTCAAATTTCCATTGTGGTCTTACCCTATTTGCTTTTCTTACTACCGTTGATATTTAGACTTACATGTTGGGAATTTCCTTAGAGGAAAATAAAACAACAGTGATGTTGTATTCTGCGCCGTAGAAGATTTGAATGAGCTGTTGGGAGGGTGGCACGGACTATAATCTGAGCAGATATGAGCAAGTGTCACGTCCATTGATAGAAAATGAGCAGATAGGAAAAGCTCTCAAAAAAACAGGACAGAGCTATATGTAAAGGAAATCTAAGTCAATTATTAGATAGTTTTTTCATATGACTTGTGATCGAACGTTGAAAAGGAATTTGAATTTAGATAAGCTCTACCAATGGCAATAAACGTTCTCATCTTTATGGATGAAATCCACTTTTCTTTAATGATTGTAAATGGTAAAGTCATCCCCAATAAGGATGCTCCCCTGGGTATTTCCTACACGGCACTTTTACATTTTTACCCTCATTATAGAGGTATATGGAAATAACAAAAGGAAATTTGGCATTTCTGCCTTTCTTTGATGTTTGAAGTGGGATACAGTGTAGAGTAAATGCACGTTCTCCTGGAAAGTTTGAGTGTGACAAATGACCTTCTCCTCCTCCACAACATGAAAGCACCTTGCCTACGTGGGGGTTCATTTCTACCCAGTTTAAGTCTCTTGCCGTTGCCCGTGAGGACACACGATGTGCTTTGCCTCGGCTTTTGCCACCAACTTTCATCTCTGAGACCCTGGGCTCCGCTTTCTTGCTCGGGACCATGCCCACGGCTTGCATGGTGCTCCTTGGAGGTGTCCGTCTCTCCTTATCTCCTGTCGTGTGAATCCAACAGCATTTGTGGTTTCTGAATTGCCCTGTGACCTCCAGACCGTGATTTGCCTCCTACCATTGCTAAGTGTTTCATGGGGCCGCTCTCTGTAAGCTCTGGATGGGACATGACTACCTCGGGTATGACTTAGCTCCTGTGTAGACCTAAGGAGTTACTTTGCTACGGCGGCCGGAACAAAGACGCATACAAAAACAACACAAATGTGTTGTCCCTGCACTTCTGGAGCCCAGAGGTCTGAGATCCAGGGCTAGTTGCTACTGAGGCTCTGAGGGAGGGTCTGCCTGGTCCAGACCCCTCTCCTGCGTCCAGTGGTGTCCTGGCCAACTTCGGCGTTCTTTGCCTCACCCCCACCTCAGACTTCATCTCGACTTGGCGTTCTCCCTCCGAGGGCATCCCCTTCTTGTAAGGACACCGCTCAGGTCGGGATCACCCCAGTGACAACTGTTAACTTCATTCCCGCGAAAAGACTCTATCTCCGAATAAGGTCACATTCTCAGGTAGTGGGACCAGGACTTCAGTTTATGAATTCGACACCATCCAACCCATTACACCTGGAAAAGGTTATGCCAAGGAGATGTCCCCAAATCCCGCAAATCACCGAATTCACACCCATAGGGCCTTTGCCGACCGAGACGCCAACAGCGTGAAGGCAAAATCGGAACAGGAAGCCTATCTTGACAGGTCTCGAACTGCTTACAAATGCCAGCTTGTTTGCACGTTTTGTTTGCGATTTGGGGGTTCCTCTGTGATGCTTTCTTATTCCCTTTCTTTCACCTCCCTCAGGAGGGCAGAGGCAGAAAGCTCTCCTTCACAGCCACCAGTTTGACTCAGAGCTGATAGACAGGCTTCTCGATCTGCTTCTATTTTGTTTTTTAATATATATTTTTTAATTTAAGAGAGAGTGCATGTGAGTGGGGAGGGAGGGGCAGAGAGAGAGAGAGAGAGAGAGAGAGAGAGAGAAGGAGAGAGAATCCCAAGCAGGCTCCACGTTCAGTGCAGAGCTCGACATGGGGCTCGATCCCACGACCCTGGGACCTTGACCTGAGCCGAAATCAAGAGTCCGACACTCAACCAACTGAGCCCCCCGGGCGCCCCAGATCCCAGACTATTTTAAGCAGTCAGTGTAGCCGGTCTAACCCTGGAGTTGAGGGTCGCAGAACCCATTTCTGCTTCTCCTTCTTCCTCAAAGTCATCACAAGAGGCAGAATAAAGTCAAGTCTTTGTTTTTTTTTAATTCCATTTTTTTTTTTAATCTAAGAGTTAATGAGTTCACCTGGGTTTAAGGAGATTTGTAATGAATTTTCAAATCCCTGTAATTATTATTTTTATTGTAATGTTGGATTATTAATACCAAGCTAGAAATGTTGCTCAATATGCAAAATCAGGTGATAAGTACCACTTGGCTTTTAGGAAGTGCATTATATAAGCAGTCCATTATGAGAATAATCTTGGGTTATAGCCAGCTCTCAAAAGACCTGGCAAATAAGGTTTTAAAATCAAGGCACTTGCAGGCCATTATAACAACTACATTGGTAAAACGTACTAGAATCCCCACATAGTAAGTGTCCCTTAGAGAATAGCAACAAATTATATTAATATTGTATTTCAAAAAGAGTGAAATAATAAGACTCAGTCGAGGTTAAAACGACTATGTCCAATGATATCAATGCAGGAAGTACACAGCATCCGTCCCTATTAGTTGTCAGGCTGGAGGGGACACGAGGTCCCTAGAGCCCAGTCATCACCTGGTGGCCATTGCCCCACATCCCACACAAGTGGCCAAGTGCAGATCATGTCACAGCGCTGTCCTCACTGTGCCAGGAAATGCCAGTGGGCACTCTCCCATCTGCAAAGAAGCAAAAGGCTCCAATTACCAGGAACGGTGAGCAGGAAATCATGAAGGGCAGGGAGGAAACCCGTAGGACTCATGGAAGCAGGAGGAATGCAGGGCACTGAGGGCAGGGGGTATGGAGCGAGGCACAGGTGCAGGCTGGGGGCACAGGGCAGCTGCTCAGACAGGACGTTGGCAGCTGGTGGACAAGCTGCTTGGGCAGAAGGAAGAAATCTCTGGATTCGTGGACTTACTGTAAGTCCCGTGACATTGTCGTTTGCCTCAGCTCCAATCGTGAGGACACAATTAAAGGGATAGAAAGTGGCCTCTGACCTAGACTATGCCCCAGAACACTCATGCCTCATGCATGGAGCAGGGGGCAATTTCCCATTGAGTGAACGGTAACATTTCCGGGAGATAAGGGAGTATGCGTGCTAGTACAATGGGTTGACAAGAAAGTAAGAAACGCAGTGTATAAGTAAAATAATACACACATGACTTGTTGCATCCAAAAGTGTGTTTCCTCCTGCAGTAATAAAAATACTTGTGTGTGTTTGTGTGTGTGTGTGTGTGTGTGAGATCCGTCTACATGTAATCCAAAAATGTGCTTAATTTAACCTTAATTTTTCATTATCTTAATATAGTCACATCGTTCAAAATTAAAAAAGATATAATGGGAAAGAATCAGGAAATTCCTCTTCTGGAAATGCATTCAGATGGAGTTCATTACGCAAGATGGTCAGTCTCGTGGCTTGAGAATCATACTTCAACGTTTTGTTGGTTTGTTTTTACCAGAAGCAGCCTTCCCCAGATTAATCTCCAGCTCCCACTAAGAAGCATCCATCCACAGACTGGGCCTCTGGAGTTATCTCCACAGGTTTGAAGACGCAGGCAAAAGCTGTCCTGAGACTCCTAAATTTAGCCTTTGGAGAAATCGATCGTGCCATGAATTCAATTGACTGTCCCTGGTATCACATCATCCACGGAGTTACTGAGTTTTGGGGATGACCCTTTTGATTGCTCAACTGAACGTAATAAAACACTCTGTGGCTTTTTACACGTTCGGGGCAAGTGGAGTGCCAAGGCAGTTATTCAGACAATTCATGTCAAAGTTGGATTCTGACCTGAACCATTGGCTGGATCGTGCCTTACAACAGTGGGCAATCGTGGCAGGGATCCACCTGAAGTAATCTGCAAAACTTCGCTCTTATCTGTGTGATGTGAAGCATGGTGGTCCCCCCGGTGATCCACTCTTTTGCCTTTCCTCTTCCCTGTGCTCCATGAAATCCCAACAAAGGAAAAAGAATCATTCCTAAGGATCATTTGGAAATGTGTTTTTGGGGCGCCTGGGGGGCTCAGTTGGCGAAGCATCCATTCTTGATTTCGGCTCAGGTCATGATCTCATGGTTGGTGGGATCGAGTCTCATGTTGGGCTCTGTGTTGACAGCATGGAGCTTGCTTAGGATTCACTCGCTGTCTCCTCTCTTTCATTCTCTCTCTCTCTCTCTCTCTCTCTCTCTCCCCCAAAAGTAAATAAATAAACTTAAAAAAAATAAATGTGTTTTTACCAAAGAGCAAGAAAACTGGACTGGGTTGGGGGATGTATATTATCCACGTAAACACTTTTTTTTTTTAATTTTTGTTTCCACGTTTTTATTTATTTTGGGGACAGAGAGAGACAGAGCATGAACGGGGGAGGGGCAGAGAGAGAGGGAGACACAGAATCGGAAACAGGCTCCAGGCTCCGAGCCATCAGCCCAGAGCCCGACGCAGGGCTCGAACTCACGGACCGCGAGATCGTGACCTGGCTGAAGTCGGACGCTTAACCGACCGCGCCACCCAGGTGCCCCCGTAAACACTTTTAAAAACAAAAGCAGGTATTCATCTTAACTGGCTTCTAGAAAGGCTAAATACAAATTGCATGAGTTTTTAATGCCTTAAAAGACTCTATTTCAGGCATTTAAACACCATTATTTTTAACAAATGTAATTTTATTTCTGCTGTAAGTTCTTGGCAACACTAGGAGAATTTTGCGGAGGAAATTTTGTCCCTGCTATGTGAATTACATTAGATTGCCAAAACTTTTCTAGGACTTGAAGTAACTTTACTAAGTAACTTTAAAGGCCACCTTGATCTCTACAACTTTAGACTTCAGGGACTTCGGCATCAGACAGAACTGAGTTCAAATCCAAACTCTGCTGCTTTCAGTGGATCATCAGAAAGGTTTCTGAACCTCTCGGAACTTCATTTTACTCATCAGTGAAATGAAACTAATAGGACATACCTTAGTGGGAAGACTGGGTTCAAGAAGAAACAGGATTAAATGGGATAGTGGGATAAAATAAAAATGAGAATAGCTCCTTTAGTGGGAATGTTATGCCTTCTGACTGGCCGCTTGTATCAGTCAGGACGAGCTACATCATGCTGTAGTAACAAAGAAACTCCCAGTCTCTGTAGCTAGGCACACACAAGCTTTGACTTTTCACTTTCTGCTTCCTCTGATGTTTGAGTTCAGGTCTAGAAGGGCTCATACCGTGTGTGGAGCAGTCCTTCAGCTGCATGGGGCTTGAGGGCCTGGATTCCCACCACTGACCCAACATTTTTAAAGTTCTGTGACCTTGGAGAGTGACTTCACATCTCTGAATCTCGTTATATTACCTATAAAGTGGGGAAAATAAAAGAACCTATGCTCATATAATAATAAATAATATTAATTATTTATATTAATAATTATATTATATATATAATAATATATATAATATAATTATTATAAATATTATTAATTATTTATAAATAATATAAATAAATAATAAAAGAACCAACCCATGTTGGTTGGGAGGGAAAAAAAGTTACCAAATGCATAAAACACTGGATCAGTTCCTGGCCCAAAGTAAATACTATATACATGCTAGCTACAGTAAAACCTTGGTTTGCAAGCATAATTTGTTCCGGAAACATGCTTGTAATCACACTTGTCTATCAAAGCGAATTTCCCCATAAGAAATAATGGAAACTCAGATGATTTGTTCCATTGCTCAAAAACATTCATATAAAAATGATTACAATACTGTTAAATAACACAAAATAATAAAGAAAATACAAAATATAAAGGGGAATAAACAAATTAACCTGCACGTCCTTTTGAAAACCTTCGTGGCTGGTATGAGGGAGACAAGAGAGAGGAGGATTATTGTGTAGGATGACTTTCACTATCACTAATGGGTGTTGACTACAGTGTAGTATTAATAAACTCCTGTCATGTACTGTATTTAACGTAACTGGCAATAAGACAGCAGAGGAAAGGGTCTCTATCTGCAGGCAGCCTGACCTAGAATGAAGCAGAGCGTTCCTAAGCTTACTCTTGTATGGAAAAGCAAAGGACTGTCCCTAGGTGCTCTGAAGTGACAAAAACACACTAGTGCCAGTGTGGGCACCTTCCATCATTCTGAAAAATCACTGATTTCTGCCGAACACCAAGGCCTGAGACCGAGCATCCGAGCATGGGAGACGATCACCCACAATCCCGCAAAGAGACAGAGAGAGAGAGAGGGAAGAGCCGTAGACTCAGTTGTGATCATGTGACGTTCAGCGTCACATACGACTCGTATTGCAAGGCATCGCTCGTTTATCAAGTTAAAACATGTTAGAAATGTTTGCTCGTCTTGTGGAACACTCCCAGAACAAGTTACTCATAATCCAAGATTTTGCTGTATTGTTATTCTTTTGCTTTAGAACAATACATGCCTTTTATTCACAAAAATAACTTTCTGCTAATACATTTACTCAGGACCTTTCGGAATATACGTCAAGGCAGACTTGTGGCAATGGTAACAATCAAGTCTCCCTTCAACTTCTAAGTGAGTTTTCTGAAGAGTATAAATACATTTAATTTCTCTGCCAGCCTCTGTGCAAAGAGAAAGAGCATTAGGTCCGGAATCAGGCGAGCGTGGCAGCAAATCTCAGCTCCATTACTGACCAGAAGGGCAGTATTAGATCCGGAAATTTCTTAATTTCTCTCCCATGCTGTGCCCCTGTCTGTAAACTAGGGTAGGATCAAACCGCCTCATAAGGCTACGGTAAGGATGCAATCTGAAATTGCTTTTGAAGTGCTTATTCTCACATCCGGAACACAAGAAGCTCTCAACAAAGGTAGATATTAACAGTATCATTAGCATCCACGTTTTTGAAATATTTCCCTCCATTCAAGACCCTGACCGAGAGATACGTTTTACAAAGTATTCTCTGAAAACCCCCATTATGCCCTGATTCTCTGAATGTTCACTTATTTGACATGTTTCATACAGTCGGGTTCCTTATTATTTATTTATAACCTGTGGTAACAAACGCATTGTCTTTTTATCTTAAATGGATTAGCCAGGATATAATCTTCTTTTTTTTTTTTTTTTAATTTTTTTTTTAACGTTTATTTATTTTTGAGACAGAGAGAGACAGCATGAACGGGGGAGGGTCAGAGAGAGGGAGACACAGAATCCGAAACAGGCTCCAGGCTCCATGGAGTGCGAACTCATGGAGTGCGAGATGGTGACCTGAGCCGAAGTCGGCCGCTCAACCAACTGAGCCACCCAGGCGCCCCCAGGATATAATCTTCTTAAAGGAAAACCCCACAGCACAGGATGCTAAACAGATTGCAGGTGTTAAGATGGCATCCGCAGGGTTTTTTTTTTTTTCTTTCTAATTGACAAGACCTTTTCACAGATCTGTGGGGTACAATGAAAATAACAATGACAACAACAGTAGTAACAACCAGTATTTTTGAGTGCTTGCTTTGTGCCCGGGATCTCGCAATCCTTGCCAATCATCCCATTGGAAAGTTGGTGAATATCAGTAACCTTGTTCTGCCACAGAACTTCGTGAGCTAACCCAACAGTGCCTACAGTCCTTCAGCATATCTGTGGGTTTATTGCTCAGACCTTCTGCAGGTCTAGCCTGGGCTTACACACGCAGCTGCGTTTAGCTTGTAGGCTGGAAAGACGTTGGGCTCAGTGGGAACGGCT